GGAGCTGGCCCCGGTGAGCCAGGCCCCTCGCCCGGGCGGGCTGGTCGGCGGTGCAGGGGACAGAGACGGCAAGGCCACCCCGGTAAAGCATCACCCCCTCGCCCTGCCCTGCCGCACCTCCCCGGCACCCCTGTCACCAGCTCTGTCACCAGCTCTGTCAGTGACCAGGCTCCGGCCCTCGGTCCAGGGACTTCTCCCTTTCCTTCAGACAGCAGCAGCATCCACCTTACCGGAGCCATAACCGAGGTTTCCATCACCACCTCTCTGATCAAACAGGCGGGCTGAGCTCCCGCAAAGGCATTTTGTCCGGTGGTGACACTTTTATGAGGCTGCGTGTCCCCCCACGTGTGTCACCCGCCACCCCGCGGGGCACTGGGCACTGGAGCTGGCTGGGGCGGTGGTGTGCTGCCTGCACCCCGGGCTGGGCAAGCTTTGGGGGGGGGTGACGTGCATCTGGACCAGGCGTGGGGGGCCAGAGCTGCTCACGCCCCCACGCCACACTCCTTCCCAGCGGCGCCGCTGTTCCAGCTGCCTGCACTTAGGACCTGGAGGAAGCGCCTGGCGCTGGCGGACAAGAATCATGTGATGCTGGTGTCCACGTCCCCCTCCGTCCCCCGTCCCGGGCCCATTGAGCGCCCAGCGGCGATGGGGCTGCCGGCTCTCGCCTTGCTGCTGGTGGCAGGGCTTCTGCACACGCAGGTTAGCAAACACGGGTGGAAAGTTTGGGAGAAGTGCATGGGGCTGAATTGCGAAGGGTCTGCTGGGACGGCTCCGGGATCTGCCTTGCTTTCCTCCCTGTGTCCCGCTCTTCCTGCTATGGCTCCTGTCTGCTGCGGCCCGTGTCCTGCCCCAATGGCCTGCTCCTGCCCTCAGCTCCCTGCCTGCCCTCCCAGCACCCGTCACCCAAAATGCCACCAGATCAGCCGCTGGGTGGGGCATCAGGCGGTGCAAATGGCTGCCCTGCTTGTCCCTTTGTCTCTCCCAGGACAGCATGGTACCTGCCTCAATCCTGCCCTGAAGATGGGGAGGGAGGGTCCCCCCCAGGCACCAGCCCCCATCAGTCCCTGTCCCAGGGAGCATGGACAGGGGTGGCTGGGCTTGGGGAGGGTCTGCAGCCCCCCCCAGCACTGTCCCACTCCCGCAGGCCTCATCCCTGGCACGCTCCTTCCAGCTGGATTACAAGGAGGACTGCTTCCGCAAGGATGGTGCCCCTTTCCGCTACATCTCGGGCAGCATCCACTATGCCCGTGTCCCGCGCCCCGCCTGGAGGGACCGGCTCCTCAAGATGTACATGAGCGGGCTCAGCGCCGTGCAGGTGTAAGCGACAGGGGCAGCCCCGACGGTGCCCAGCTCACAGCTACCACAGCCCCTCAGGGTCTCTGGGGTCCCCAGAGAAGGGACAGAAGCAAGGGTGTTGTCTGATCACAGGGAGTGGGGACCAGCCCTTGTACTGGGCTGACTGGGAGCCCCAGGACCTCTCTGCCAGTCACAGTCCAGCCCCAGTTGTCATCCCCGGCCCAGGCTGAGGGCCCATTCCCAAGAGCAGAGAGACCAGCCTGTGGGATGGTTCCCCATTGTGCTAGCTTGCCCTTAGCCTCCACATGCTGATCCCTCTTCTCACCCAGCTACATCCCCTGGAACTACCACGAGCCGCTGCCGGGGCTTTATGACTTTGCTGGGGACCGGGACGTGGAAGCCTTCCTGGATCTGACAGCCGAGCTGGGACTTCTGGTGATCCTGCGGCCGGGGCCCTACATCTGTGCAGAGTGGGAGATGGTGAGCCCCAGACCTGCACAGCGGGGTTGGCCCTTCTGGCTGGCATGCTGACCCCAGTGCCATGCTAGCCATGCCCAGGCTGCTGCCCCGCGGGGCATGTGCCACTCCAGGGCCAAACATGAGCATTGTGCTGGCCAGGTTTCAGCTGTGTTGCCAGCCTGGGCTGCTGAGCAGTTTCTCTGCCTCTCTCTCTGCTGCGCATGTTTCTCCAGGGTGGCCTGCCTGCCTGGCTGCTGTGGAAACCAGACATCGTCCTGCGCTCCTCCGACCCCGGTGAGCCTCAGCATGGGGTTCAGGCCACCATGTCCTTACAGCCTGATACCAGTCCTAGCATGCTGGTCTCTCTTCATGCACCTGCCAGCTCTGTGTGCTGGGTCTCTCCATCCTCTTCTTCATTTTTTGGGAGGTCCATAGTTCATCCTCCATCTCCCCTTCCCCATCGTGCTTGGCCCTACCTCATCTGCTCCATCCTCCTCCTGGCAGGGCTGTCTGTGGGTGGGCTGGGGTGGACACTGCAGCTGAACTGAGCTGCCCTCTGTCCCCCCAGCCTACCTGTCAGCTGTGGACTCCTGGCTCCGTGTCCTGCTACCCAAGATCAAGCCACACCTGTACCAGCATGGGGGGAACATCATCAGCGTGCAGGTGGGGTGCTGTGGGAGCCAGCCCACTGCCCTGCTCTGGATCATCTTTGGATGTGCCCCAAAAAGCCACCTATACCCCCTACACCATGACCTCATCCGGCACAGCTCGTAGATAAATCCTTCCCAACCTTTGGACCTGGGTTTAAATCCAAGGGCTGGGACTCTGGGGTATCTGCCACCACCCTAGCTGTGGTGTGAGGGACACTGGAAGAGCTGGGGGTCTTGGTGGGGCTGGAAGGTCATTCTCAGGACCCACTTGGGGTTTGTCATGCCATCCGATGATGTCAGGGGGAAGCCGGGTGCTCATCCCAGTGGGTGGCAGAACCTGGCTGCAGCCCTGCCATGTCCATGCTGGGTGCCAGTCCCTGCCCTGCTCACAGGTGGAGAATGAATACGGGAGCTACTATGCCTGTGACCATGGGTACCTGCAGCATCTGCTGGGCTCCTTTCGGGCGCTGCTGGGGAACGAAGTTGTGCTCTTCACTACTGACAGCACGCGGGCGGAGGAGCTGCGCTGCGGCACCTTGCAGGGGCTCTATGCCACCATCGACTTTGGGCCAGGTACCCTTATGAGGGAGAAGGAGGAGGAGAGAGGATGGGGTCCCTGCTCTGTCCTCCAACCTTCCTCCCTCCACCTCTGCAGACTCCAATGTGACAGAGGCGTTTGGTGCCCAGCGCCAGGTCGAGCCGAAGGGACCCCTGGTGAGCTCGGCATGGGTGCTGTGGGATGGGGAATGACTTGCGATGGCTTTGGGGAGGCAGAGGGGCTGGGTGAGGGGGTGAGGCTGCAGGAGAGAAGGGGGGATGTGGCTCACAGAGGCATGCCAGGAGCTCCAACTCCAGGCAGGTGACAGTCCTTTGCTCCCCCAGGTGAACTCCGAGTACTACACGGGCTGGCTGGACTACTGGGGGGAGGCTCATGCCAGCACCAGCTCGGCGCAGGTGGCCCAGGGGCTGGAGGAAATGCTGCAGCTGGGAGCCAGTGTCAACATGTAAGTAGTCATCTGGCGGGGTGGCACAGCCTGGGGGGGTGATGCCCTCCCCTCTGCCAGCATTGTCCCGCAGGTCTTGGGCATGGGGAGGCAGGCAGGGCTGGGACTGCTGGTGGAGCAGGGCAGGGGCAGTGGTGGGTGAGCCTCTGTTGGGTCTGTGGGGTGCTCACAGGACTCTTTGGGGTGTCCCGTAGGTACATGTTCCATGGGGGGACCAGTTTTGCCTACTGGAGCGGTGAGTAGGGCCCTGCCCTGGGGAAGGTGGGGACCACACTGTGGGGCTGGGGGGACTTTCCTTGGCCACCCCCAAGGAGTCTGTTTCAGGTTCCCACAGGGCAGGCTGACACATACCTAAGGGCCTCTGAACCCAAGCCTGTCCCCCACCAGGGACTCCTTTTGTCCCCAAGCAGGGGGCCCCAGTTCTGGGCCATGCCCCCCTCCATTGCCTCACAGTCAGCCTGGGGCTGGGGTCCATGCTCTGGGCTCTGCCAGAGCCCTTTCCTCCAGCTCCCATCACTTCCCTGGCCAGGAGCTGACTTCAAGGACCAGTACAAACCAGTGACCACCAGCTATGACTATGATGCCCCTCTCTCAGAGGCAGGAGACCCCACTGAGAAGCTGTTTGCCATCCGCACAATCATCAGTAAGGTGCTGAGCCTGGCAGGAGGAGGGGGACAGCACTGGGCACCGCTGCCTGTGCCAGGGAAGTGGAGACCCAGGGGGACAAGGCAGGGCAGGAGACATCTCCCTGCTCGCCCTGGGGGGCAGCTGACAGTTTGCTGTTCAGTTCCAGCCCCTGCCAGTCGGTCCAATGCCACCTGCCACCCCCAAATATGCCTATGGCTGGGTGGCCCTGAGGAAGGTGAGTGCTTACCCCTAGGACTGTGCTGCCCGGGCCTGGCACTGCCCCACTGCCCAGTGCCCATCCCTCTCTGCAGTATGCCAACCTCCTGGACGTCTTGGATGTGCTGTGTCCCTCTGGGCCCATCCAGAGCCAGTTCCCCCTCACCTTTGAGGCCATAAAGCAGGTGAGGGGCTGGGTGCAGTGGGGGACCTTGGGGAAGATGCTCTTAGGCTTGTCTATCCTGCCCTGGCTACAGGGTGGTGGAGCAGGGCTTGTCTCCAGACCCATTTCCCTTTCTGTGCTGCTCTGCTGTGTCCCGCAGGCCCATGGCTTCATGGTGTACCACACACAGCTGCCCCGGGATGTCCTGGACCCAGCCACACTGGAGGCTCACCCCCACAGTGTCTGTGACCGTGGCTACGTGATGCTGCAGAAGGTGAGGCTGCGGGAGCACACCCGTCCTTGGCCTGGCCTCTCAGGAGGGCTGTGGGACCTGCAGGCAGTGGAGCTCTGCCCTGCCAGGGTCTTGGGGACAGCCAGGGTGCCAAGAACCACACTGAACCCTTGTGGGGTCGCCCTCTGGCCCAAACTTGTCCCCTGTGGGGGAAAAGGGCAGCCCTAGGCTGGTTCAGGGAGGGCAGGCAGCAGGATGCAATGCTGGCAGGCTGCTGGCAGTGACTGGGGCAGTAGGATCCAGGCACGAGGTAGCTATGCCAACCCTGTGGCTGCAGGAGTACCAGGGGACGCTGGAGCGGGACGGGCAGAGGGAGCTGCATGTGACGGGCAGGGCAGGGGACACCCTGGATGTGCTCCTGGAGAACATGGGCAGGATCAACTTTGGAGCCAACATCAGTGACTTCAAGGTGAGGGGAGAGGGCCGTGGGGCTCGAGGGGATGGCCTAGGCACCCACATGGCCAAACCCCCTCTCCTGCATCCCGTGACAGACTCCCTGCCACCCCCAGACCTGCTCCCTGGTTAATCTCACATCCTCCCATACCCTGCTCCTGGCAAACCCACCAGGACCAGGATAAGGCCTTGAGGTTGTCACCCCAGTCTGCCAGTTACACTGCCATGACAGCCAGGGCTGTGCAGCCCCTCAGGGGATCCCCTCCCACCTCCACTGCTGTGAGGAGGATGTGCCCTCGGGAAGACAAACATCCTACTGCCTGTGGCAGATTTTGCTGCTGCTTCATTTTCCCTCCTGCTCTGTCTCAGGGCTTGCTGGGGAACCTCTCCTTAGACTCCAGTCCTCTCAGCAACTGGTTGATCTATCCCCTGGCCATAGACACTGCCGTCCAGCAGGGCTGGCCCCACACTGCCCTGCCGAAATCAACCAGGGGGGGCAGAGCAGGGCCAGCCTTCTACACTGGGACCTTTGAGACCCCTGGCATCGCCTGGGACACCTTTGTGAAGTTCCCAGGTTGGAGCAAGGTAAGGCGGTGTGTAGCCAGGAGAGAGGCGGGAGGGTGGAGAGAGGCACAGCTCAGTCCCCTCTCAATCTTCACAGGGCCAGCTGTGGATAAACGGCTTCAATCTGGGCCGGTACTGGCCCCGCCGCGGGCCGCAACAGACCCTCTTTGTGCCTGGCTCAGTCCTGCACATTGGCCGCCCCAACAACATCACAGTGCTGGAGCTGGAGTGGGCACCTGCCACCCCTCTCTTGCTCTTCCTCGACCGACCCCTCTTCAACAGGACCCTCAGCAGAAGCACCAAGGCCACAGAATAAACACAGAGTGGCCGGGCGCCGGCATGGCCTTGTACTGGGGCTGCAGGGAGGGCAGGGGGCTGGTGAAGCACAGGGGTGAGTGGAGGGGCTGCAGGGCCTTAGGAAAGAGGCACAGGTCCTGGCATGGACATCCAGAGCTCCTGCCCTCCTCTGGGGCCAGGCTGGATCTGTGCTAAGGAGAAAATGGTCCAGAATTTTGCATGTTAATCCCACGCTTGTCCCAAACAGTTCCAGCACTCATGCTGACTCCCCCACTGCCTAGGGGGTCAAGGCACCTCTTTACTGACAATGCAAGCAGAGGAGGTAGTTGCTAACATGATAGGGGTGAGATTCTGATGGCATCCAGGAAAGGAGATGGTGAAGCACAGCCCAGAGGGTGCCCAGAGGCAGCTCAGGCTGCGGTGTCAGGATCTGTCCCACCACCAAGGACAGCAGCCTACGAGGTAGCCATGAGAAAAGCTGGCAGCGGGACCCCCAGCTGGAGCCAGGCCAGGGAAACACTCCTGGCAGCTCACACTAGCACCTGGGGACATCTCAGCTGTAATGTTCCCAGAGTCACCACCCAGGGTGACATTCATGCCCAGATCCTTGCCAGAGTTGCCCCAGAGAGGGACAGGGACAGCTCAGTCCCCGTGACCAGCACTGCTTCACAGGCTCTCCCTCACTGCACAGCTGTGTCTCCACACCAGTCCTCGGCAGGTGACAGCAGTCCCCAGCCTTACGTGTGGCTGGCCCGGGCCCGGCGGTGCGTTTGCAGGCAGGCCGTGGAGCAGAAGGAGAAGTCGAGGTAATGGAAAGGGATCCGGCCCAGCAGGGACTCTCCACAATGCCAACAACGTCTGCAGGAAAGAGCGGAGGTGGCCCTAAGCGAAGGGGACACTTGCAAGAGGGTTAGAGGAGGAGAGGATTCACTGCCTGGGCTGTGATGCGAGACACGAGCAGCAGGAGCAAGCTGGGGCTCCCCTGGTCTGGCGGGGCTGCTGTGCTCACCCAGCAGCCTGGCCAGGACACACTCCCTGGGGAAGATGCTGCGTGGAAGTGTGGTGTGAGGCACTTTGAGGCAGGCTGACTGTGGGGGAATTTGGCCCCACACAGGGTTGTCAAGCCCCTGCCCAGATCAGCACGGGCAGAGTTGGCAGCCCACAAGCCTGTGGACATGAGATGTTGGGTCAGGGACTGAGGCACAGGAGTGGCTGTGTGTGGGGATGGTTTCCCATAGATATGGCTGCAAGTGGACCAAGTCATCCTTTGCAAAATATTTCAGGGGGGCAGGGCAAGAGGAGAAAGCTGTTACACAGGCACTACTGGGAAGTGAGTGGACAGGAATAGCTTTAGACTGGAAATGAGAACTGGAGCAAGAAGGGCAAGGAACAGCTGTGCTGACGTGGGAGAGTTTGTCTGCAGGGGCTGTTACCTGATGTTGGCCAGAGTTGTGCTGGCGTCCTGCAGCTGTGCAGCCAGTCTCCGCTCAGCAGCCAGCGCCCTCTGGGAGCAGAGAGACTGCTCAGCACCCCCAGCCCCTGGGAGCTGCTGTGCCCAGAGCCCACCGTGCCGGCGCTGCCCCAGCTGGGCTGCACCCCCTTCCCCACACACGGCCTCACCTTCTCCCTGTCGGATAGCGCTGCGAACCGCTGCTTCTCCCCCTGCTCCTGCTCCCAGCGCTGCCGCTCCTCCCGCTGCACCTGCTCCCGCTGCTTCCGCTGGGCTTTTTGCGCCCGCTTCTTCTCCAGCTTCCTGGCCTCCATCTCCTGTGTCAGGGGCCCTGGCACCTGGGGACAGAGGGCAGTTGGCATCTCCCACTGAGCCAGGGGCAAAGGCACGGGTGATCAAGGGGTTCTTTGCTCTGGGGTCCCCCGGACCTCGGAAGGCGAGGGCAGAGGGCAGGCACCCACCTGGGCACGGCTGTAGTCATACTTGTCTGGATGGTCCACCATGAACTTGCGGAAGGCATTGCGGGTTGGTTTGTCAGCAGAGACGCAGTAGGGGGTTCTGTCCTGCCCATTTCTGCCAGACAAGGAAGACCAGCTCACCCTGCCATCACACTGCCTACATCCCACTGGGCTGTGAGCCCAGCAACTTCCCAGAGATGACTGCCGGGTATCACAGCCAAGGAGGGGAAAGTTGCTTATCTGTACACTGCAATTCCCCAAATCCTGCCCTTCTTGCATCAAAAATGCCCTGCAAAGGGTGGTCTCATCCCCACCCACTGAACTGTCTACCAATAAACCTGGGAGCACTCTGGGGCAGTGCCTGCCTGCTGCTGTGCCAGACCAGGCAGGCAGACAGAGTGAGTGGTGGTTCAGCTCTTGGGCCTCCTGTAACAAACCCAGTAACAAGTCCTGGCTGGGAGAGACCAACCCTGGCTGTCCCAGGACAAAGCTGGCACCAGTCTCCTGTGGCTGAGACAGGAGGGAGCTGTTGGGCTCCTACAGCAGGGGAAGTGCTTGCCAATCGCTGGGCGCCCTGCGGCCATACCTGAGGGCAGGGTCTGCCCCTGCCTCCAGCAGCAGGCACACAGCCTCGGCCTTCCCTGCCCGTGCTGCCACATGAAGCAGGGTGCTGCCATGCTCATCCACGGGCTGGTTGAGCAGGGACCAGGGCATATCCAGGGCCTGTGTGCCCTCCCCATCCTTGCTGTCGGCCAGCAAGGCCCTGCTCTCTGGCACAACCAGGAGGTGCTGCAGCGTCCCCACATCTCCCGTTTTGCAGGCGGTGAACAGGGCATCGCGGAGCTGGGTCTGAGGGTCTCCTGCGAGGGAAGAACAGGAGGGGAGTCTGACAGCTCCCTGGGAAGAGCAGTGCTCTGGTGTGACTAGGAAACACAAATGGTGCAGTTAAAGCATCACCCTGCTAGCTGGATTTGGGCACTGCAGGATCTCCAGCATGTCCAGTCTGTGACATGGCACGGCACTGCTGGCAGCAGTAGAGCCCTCTACTGAGATAAGGCCACTCCAACTCCCCCCAGCACATGTGGCTCAGCCAGGTGCTTCCTGCCCCGCAGGGTTCAGAGTCTGAACACACACCTCCCTCGAAGGCACGGGGCTGCACTACAGCCACCCCACATCCAGCTGTTCTGGTCACCTGCATGATAACACACTCTTCACCCTGCTTCAAAGCCACCAGCAAATGGGGTAGGCCTCCACCCAGCTCAGCTCCCGACCCCACTTACTTGCATCACTCCAGGGAAGGGGCTCAGCCCCAGCCTCCCCCTGCAGCTCTGTCACCAGCTCCAGGTCGGGCTGCCCACACTGGGTACCATAGCACCCCGTCTCTTCGGCACGGGGCCCTGCATAGGGAGCACACAGTGAGGAAGAGGGCCAGGGCCAGCCTGCACCCCAGCCGGAGTAGGCCCTTCCCGGCTGCATTCCTACACTGTCCCCAGCCAGTTCTTCCCCCTCACCTTTCTCCACCTTCTTGTCCCTTTTCTTCCTCCTTTTGCGGTTTCGCTTGGGCATCACTTCAAACTCCCGGAGGTCCAAGGTCCCCAGTGTCACTTCCACAGTCTCTAGCTCTCCTGACGGGCTTTCCTTCTCCTCTTCCTCCTCCTCCTCTGGGCCTGAGGGGGTTAATAAGACAGGGGCTGAGGCCCCCCACACAGCACGAATCACTCAGGGCCCTCAGTCAAGCACAGCCTGCCCTTCTCTGGCCTAGCTCAATGCCACAAGCTGCAGATCCCTGCTGTGGGGCCAGACTCTGTCACAGGGCTGCAAATCTGGTCCTGCACCATAAGACCAGACCCTGCTGCTTGCTCCATGGCTCAACTCACCACTTGTGTTCTCCTGAGGGGGATCCATCTCTGCTTTCCGCTGCCTCTTCTGCCAGCCCTTCCGGGGGGACCCAGTGATGTCCTCCAGTGGCGTGCCCTTCCCTGGGCAACAAGGGTGTTCCTGTCACTGCCTGGGGACAGGGAGTACCCCATGTCTCCAGGAATTGAGGGTTGGAGAGCTTGAACCTCATCCCCATAGGGCAGCACCCCCTAACACATGTAGAATTACACAAAGGACCATGTCACCCCCCTGCTCTGACCCCCAGGCCCTGGGGCACCAGGGCTGGGCTGACTCACCGTACACCTGCAGGCTGGCCAGCATGGCGTGGACTCGCAGCACCTCTCGCAGGGTGGCCCTGCGGGTGCTGAGAGGGATGTGGCAGACACGAGGGTCGCCCCAGGTGAGTGGCGGGTTCCTGCCACCAAAGAGCAGTGCACGGTTGTGGCGCGGGGCCCGCAGGAAGATGCGCTGAGCTTCCTTCAGGTGCTGGGCCCAGGCTGCCAGCAGGTCCTGAATATCCTGGGGAGGAAGGGGAGGCATCACAAGGTCCTGAGTGCACTGTGTGGGCACAGGCAGGTAGGTCTGGAGCAGGACAGATCCAGAACAGAGCAGCCACAGTTGGGCCCTGACCCACTTTCAGAGCTCACACCCCACCCACGCCACCCAGCAGCAGTATGGTACCACCCCGCCGAGCCAGCCATGACCACATGTCCTTGCTGAGAGCCCAGTGCTGTGGCCCAGCCCCACCTTGAGCAGCGCGGCCTCATTGTAACGCCGCAAGGAGGCTCCGGCCGACCTGGGTGCTGACCCTGGGGTCTGGGCGTCCCGTAGGCTCTGGGCTGTGCCCCGCCGCGCTCGCACCGTGTAGCGGTGGAATGTCTTGTGCTCCTGCACCTGGTTGCTGCAGAGAGGGGCAGACAGGCATGGAGAGAAGGTGAGCTGATGCTCCTGGGACCACGGAGGGCTTGCAGCTTGCCTCTGGGGCCCTAAAGATTAATACTTCTCCTGCAGCACAACTGGGCTTAGCCAACTCCCAAACAAAGACTAGGAGCTGAAGGTACCCAGACTGCAGTAAGCACTTCAGTGGAAGAGTAGGGAGGCTGTCCAATGCCTAGTCCCACTTGTCCTTGCCCAGGGGGGCAACGCCAGCTCTATGCCCCTGTACTTACCCCTGGAACACAGCTCCTGCAAAGTGCCCACCGCCCATCATCAAAACAATCCAGCACGTGCTCGCACCAAGGCTCTGCAGTGATGCCATCAGCTCCGCAGGCTCCTCAGTGCCACCCTGAGACACAGACACCCTTGTTATAGCACCCATGGGATCATCTCGTACCCCTTGCTGTCCCCTGGAATGAAGACCAGTCCCTCTGCTGCACCAGAAGCAGGTTTCTGGGAGCATCCCAGAGCCAACAAGCAGGCCACCCGCAAGCCTGGGGCTCTGACCGGGCACCAGAGACCACCCTTCACATCACAGGACATGAGAGATGTCAGGCAGATGTCTAAACCCCAGTGCCACCCTCCCAACAAGCAGGGCTATGACTTGCCTTCCCGGTGCCCAGCACACAGCGGTAGGCAGAGATGAGCTGGCCTTTTGCATTGCGGAGCAGCACCTTGTGGGAGCGGGGTACCAGGGGTGTCCCAGTGCTGTCACTGGCAGAGGGCAGCAACTCTGACTCACTGATTGCATCGGAGCTCTCGGAATCGGACCCTGAGATGCTGGAAACATCACCTGCAAGAGAAAGAAAATGAAGCAGGGCACACATCAAAAAACAGCTTTCCCAAAAATCTGCAGGTGGCTCCAAATGCCAGCCCACAAACCCAGAAATGCCCTGATATCCCACATATCACAAGGGAGCTGTGGGCTGGGAAGACAGGCATCTGGGGCTCTGGATCCCCAGGTATGCATAAGCATGGCTCAGACAGAACACTCCCTTCTGCCCATAACAAGTCATCAGGGCTCAGGAGCAGTGCTGGATCCCTAGGACACCCCACAGGGGCAGAATAAAGGGACCCTGAGCTGCCAGAGGTAGCTGGGGGCTTTATACCCACACAGAAAGCCCCAGCAAGACTGCTGACATCCTCTGGGCTCTGCTGGGGGAAGCCCAGTTCCTCACCTGCACGGGTTTTCTCCTCAAACACTTCCATTGGCAGTGTCTGGTGCCCCAGGAGTCGCTGCTTCAGATTGAAGCGGTGCCAGTCAAGATGGTAGTGCTCAGTCTGTGGAGGAAAGAGGTATGAGCCAGCAGGGTTCTGGGGGTCCATGGAAACCCCTACCAGCAAAGGCCCTGATGTGTCAGACCCTGAGGACTAAACTGATGCTGGCACCCTGCGGAGATCCTGACTGGAAGACGAAGGTACATGAATGAGTTTGCCATGTAACAGTTAACCTGAACAGGCCCAGGCCTGTGCTGCACGCACTGTTTACCTCCAATAAATTACATTTTAAATGATAATATGCAGGATCTGAGTGACAGATCCCAACAGGATGTGGGCAGCGGAGCTCTGGGAAACAGCCAGTGCTGAACTGCACTGTGCTGGGGCTGAGCCTCCACAGCAGGACCCCACCAGCCCCGCTCCCACCTCAGCCCTGTTCACCTGCTCCTCCCGGCTGCCGAACACCTGCCCGCAGGTCGAGCAGCACATCCGCTCCGGCACCCCGGGGGCCCTCTCCTCGCTGCTGGCAGCTGCGGGAAGAAAGGGCTGTGCTCAGCATCTCCCCTGGCTGCACCGCAAGGTGGGTCTCTTCACAGCCACTGAAAGAGCCCTACGGCTGTAGGAAGAGCTTCGGGGACCTCGGGGTGACACCGAGGAAAGGCCATTTACCCACCCACCAGGCAGCTCCCATGCCAAGCTCCAGCGCGGCCACCCAAGCTGTGTCGGGGACAGAGCTCCTTCTTCATGGCCTGGGGCTGGCAGACATGAGCTTGGCCAAATACTGCCCCCCACCGCTGCCCCGCGGACCCCCACGCACCGTGGCTCCCTGGTGCCGGCTCGGCGGCCCACACATCCGCGGCAACTCCGGTGACGAGGGTCAGCCCACGCAGGAGTTCGGGGTCTCGGGCGGCCTCAAAAACTGACCTGCTCTCCGGGGCTGGCATCGCTCCTGCTCCCAGCAGAGGTGGCCGGGGTTGGGGAGAGCAGCCGGGGACCGGGGGAAGCCGGGGGTGGGGGCTGTGCGGCTGGTTTGCGGCCTCGGGGAGCCCGGGACGGGGGAAAGAGGTGGGGCTGTGCCCCACACGCAGGAAGGCTGGGTATGCCGGAGGGCCCCTCACCCTGCGCTTCTCCTTCCTTCAGCTCCATGGCACCACATCGAGAACCTGGACCTGTTCTTCTCTCGCATATCCTTTTGCAGGGGTGGGGTTCAGGCGGGATGCACCTCACCACCTCCTGGGCTCTCAGTGCTGATGGAAACACTGAGTTTCGTGTAACTCGGAGCTGGGGCAGCCTCTGCCCCTTTTTGTAGGACACCACGCAGCTCCAGAGGGGCTGGTGGTGGCATGTGGGGTGCTGTCACCCAACACCGAAGGGACAGAGAGGTTCTTTTAGGGATCCTTGGCAGAGTAATGATGGTGCTAAATTGTAATTCCATTTAAAGCTTTATTTTTCTTGACAGGATTTTATTATTAGCATAGTGTTCATAATCAGAGTAGCAGAGGATTTCTTTAAGCAGAATCAGTGTAGTACAAATCTATAAGTAGCATAGTACAGAATTTTATAGCACCACTTAACTTACGGTTTCTAATCATCTGGACTCTGCATATCAAGTCTTAATACATGGTTTGCTGTATCAGTATAACAATTGTAATCTAGACTCAAAAATCATATAAAAGAGTACAAGTCACTCAGTCCTTGGAGGAAGCAGACAGTGGTGTACGTGTCCTTGGCAACTGGGGTGTCCTGGGTCTCACTGTCCAGCAGCAGTTCTGTCCAAGTTCCCACTCAGGACTTGTAATTCCTTGATTTTGCAGACAGTGTTCTGAGTGCTGTTACACCTCCCTGTTCTGTGACAGGGTCATCACTGCTGTCAGGTTGGCCAGGTGCCTCAGACTTTCAAGGCCAGCGTGGAAGGGAGTAATCAGTCTGGCATTCAGGAATCTTGAGGCTGGTAGGGAGGAGAAGAAATCTGTTTGGTTTGTCTACTTGGTTCACAGGACCTTCAAGGCCTGATAATGAGGAAAAGGGAACTAATAGGTGATTTGCTCAGTCACAAAGAATAGCTGCTTGCCTTATAAAATGGTGTTAGTTATGCTAACCACATTACCAGGGGTTGGGAGCAGGGGTTATTGGTCATGGGTGCCAGTGGTATTAAATGCATTTTTGTCTGCCTCTGTGTTGTCCTGCTCTGTGCTGCCCACCTTTGTGCAGTCTGAGGGAAGGCTGAGTTTCTGCTCTGTGCTGGGACAGACCCTGCTCTGGGTGTTGGGTGAGGGAAGAAGGGATCTGGGATGGAGCCAAGTCCTGTTACCCCAGCTGTCCTGTACCCAAGCAGAGTGTGTTTCTCTGCAGTGGAGAACAAGATTGCTGCTGAGTAGAGGTGTGAGGGGTTTTCTGTTGGTGGTGGAGGGAGACAGCTGGGAAGCTGAAAATGCCAGTGGGACAGAAGCCTCTCCATCCTTTCTCAGAGGGAAGGGGTCCTCCAGACTGTTCTCCTTGACTGTAGCTTTCACATCTATAACTTGCATCAGAAGAATGGCTTCACTTGCATGCTCATTGGAGAGATCTTTGAGCTCATGTAAGTGCAGGTTCCCCACCTGCTGTAACTGTGACAGCTCCTGGGTAACAGCCACAGGAAGTTGCCAAGCTCCTGCAGCTGGGTGGATGGGAGCACTCCCTTTACAGTTGTCCTGTCTCCCCTTCATTAGGGTTCTCCATGCCCCAAACCTTCATTCCACTTTGAGGAACTGGTGCCTTTGAGTTTTCCTGCCACCATGACTGTGGGAATGCACCTCAGTGGCACATGACCCTGTCTGCTCTGCGTTATGGGGGCAGAAGAGTGATTCCCTCACACCTGCTTCCTTTTTTCACAGGCAATTCATCTTTGTGGTGGCATTCACCACCTTTCTTATTAGCTGCGTTGATTACGACATCCTTTTTGCCAACAAAGCGGTAAATCACAGCCAGCATCCGAGTGAGCCCATTAAGGTGACTCTGCCAGATGCCTTCCTGCCTCCAAATGTCTGCAGTGCAAGGTAGGAGCAGCGAAGGGCATGTTAGCCACTGCTCTTGCTTTCTCAGGTACTCAGGGCACCTGCCAGGGCCTGTTTCCCACTACTTGCCTTTTCTTGTTTGCAGAATCCAGGCAAACAGCTTCCTCATCTGCATCCTGGTGATAGCTGGGGTTTTCTGGATCCACCGACTTGTCAAATTTATCTACAACATCTGTTGCTATTGGGAGATTCACTCCTTCTACATCAATGCCCTCAGAATCCCCATGGTAAGTAGCTGGGCCCAGGGCCACGTGCGAGGACACTAAGGGACATGGGGGGCATTTGCTGGGTGTTCAGAAGCTCGCCTGCGCTGCTCTCTGGAGCCAGTTTCTCCAGGAGTCCTGTACCATGCGCTTTTCCCTCTGCTCTGTAATCACATGGGTTTCCTTTCAGCCTCTTCTCCAGCAGCCAACTTATTCCATGTTAACCCCTCTCTGCCCAGCCTGCCTCTCTGCCTGCTGGCATATGCCTATGCCATCTGCCACCCAATATGTTTATTCTTCGGTGATGGCCTTTTCTGTGATGCCTTTCAACAGAAGGCATAAGTGAGGATATCTTTGTACTTTCCTGGGTTGTGGACAACATCATCTTCCTTGTTCACTGGGGGGAAAGTGAGGCACAGAGCTACCTAGTTGGTGAAAACCACATTGGAGCTTGGTGTGTAAAGGATGGGGTTTGAGGCTTGCATGTATAACCTAGTCCAGAGCCCTTGCTCTGATGGACAACATCAAAAGGTGTGTGCACGTGTTTTGAGAAGAGACAGTGTTTTGAGGAAGGTGGAGTGAGCCAAGAAGCTTGGTTTGTCCCTAGCTTATCCACAGGCTCCCTCTGAGACACTGCTTAAGTCCCTTCCCCTCTTGACTCCAAATGGCAGCTCTGGGAGGACTTGTGGGAGCCTGGAGCTGTGTTTGTGCCTCCAAGGCAGTTGGCACATGAGTGGCTGGGGAAGTCAACTGTGCTAATCTAGGGGTAAAGGGCACGGGGGCAAGGAATGGGGTTTGCTCGGCGCAGGCTGAAGTGATGCAGGGCGGTGCCTCGTGTCCCAGTGTTGCATGTGCCTCGTCAGCACCCCAAGGGGTGCACTGGGTCCTGCTGTTTGGGTGGACTCAGCCCAGCCTGCCTCTGTCCCTGGATGCATCCTGCCCCTAACCCTGCTGCTTGCCCCCTTCCAGTCCACCCTGCCCTACTACACCTGGCAGGAGGTGCAGGCCCGCATCGTGCAGATCCAGAAGGAGCACCAAATCTGCATCCACAAGAAGGAGCTGACGGAGCTGGACATCTACCACCGCATCCTTCGCTTCAAGAACTACATGGTGGCCATGGTGAACAAGTCACTGCTGCCCATCCGCTTCCGCCTGCCTCTGCTGGGAGACACCGTCTTCTACACGCGTGGGCTCAAGTACAACTTTGAGCTCATCTTCTTCTGGGGGCCTGGCTCCCTCTTTGAAAATGAGTGGAGCCTAAAGGCTGAGTACAAGCGGGCCGGCAACCGCCTGGAGCTGGCTGAGAAGCTCAGCACTCGAATCCTCTGGATTGGCATTGCTAACTTCCTCCTCTGCCCCCTCATCCTCATCTGGCAGATCCTCTATGCCTTCTTCAGCTACACGGAGATCCTGAAGCGGGAGCCGGGCAGCCTGGGTGCCCGCTGCTGGTCTCTCTATGGCCGCTGTTACCTCCGTCACTTCAACGAGCTGGACCATGAACTGCACTCACGCCTCAGCAAGGGCTACAAGCCGGCTTCCAAGTACATGAACTGCTTTATCTCCCCACTCCTCACTATTGTGGCCAAGAACGTGGCCTTCTTTGCTGGCTCCATCCTGGCTGTGCTCATCGCTCTCACCATCTATGATGAGGATGTACTGGCGGTCGAGCATGTCCTGACCACAGTCACCCTGCTCGGGGTGGGCATTACGGTGTGCAGGTGAGATGGATCTGTGCTCCCCCTGTGCTTCTGGCAACGCTGTGGGGAGCAGTGGGGCTGACAACTGTCCATGCAAACATGCTCTTTGGTTGCAAGTAAATGTGAATCTGCCTGAGTGAAGGGCAGGGCTGGGGTGAGTCAGGGGAAGGCAGTATTGATGGCCTTGTGTGCAGTGGTTGTGTGGGCTGGGCTGTCAGGAAGCTTTGGCTTGGGCGTGAAGGCTACAGGTGGAGCCATGACACGAGCCGGTCACCCTGCCCTCCCAGCAATTGAGGTGTGATGCTGTGATGCTTCCCTGCCCTGTCCTACAGGTCTTTCATCCCCGACCAGCACCTGGTGTTTTGCCCAGAGCAGCTGCTGCGAGTCATCCTGGCGCACATCCACTACATGCCTGACCACTGGCAGGGCAATGCCCACCGCTACGAGACCAGGGACGAGTTTGCCCAGCTTTTCCAGTACAAAGCGGTGAGTTTGGCTTTTGTGGGGCTAGGATGGGGACTCACCCCCACTCTTGCAGGAGAGTGAAGCTGCTGGAGAGCTGTGCAGCTCCTGCGCTGGCAGAGGAACAAGGCAGCTTTCTTGGAGACACCCTGCCCCAGAAGATGGAGGGTTGGACATGGGGTCTGGCTTTGGGTTTGTGGGTTCTTGACATCCTCAAGCTTGTGCTGAGCCCATCATCTCTGTGCTCAGGTCTTCATCCTGGAGGAGCTCCTGAGTCCCATCATTACGCCCCTGATTCTCATCATCTGCCTGCGTCCCAAGTCCCTGGACATCGTTGACTTCTTCCGCAACTTCACTGTGGAGGTGGTGGGTGTGGGTGACACTTGCTCCTTCGCTCAGATGGACGTGCGACAGCATGGCCACCCAGCGGTAGGTCCCCTGGCTGGCAGGAGAGCAGCCTGGGCTTCCCACCAGTATGCCTGGTCCTTTGGACGCATGAAAGGGTGTAACTCACCACTCCTGGCAGCCCTCTGCCCAGCCACCTGCCTCTCTGCAGGATGTCTGGGGCTGCCAACACAGGTCACCAGCCCCAGAACGCTCTTGTGGCCCAGCTGTGATTATTAACCTGGTATTTTGTGAACCAGGCTTTGTTGTTTCTTTGTTTGATGTTGTTGCCTCTCTTCACAACCAAGAGTCCTATGTCCTTGGGAGAGGCTTAGGGATATTTGGGCATTTAGAAAGCGTGACCACTGAGAACTGACTTAAGGAAGCTGGGCTGCTTGTGTCCAGGAGAGAGGCAGCCTCGGGGAGATGGGAAGCATTTTCCATTATGTAAAAATCTAATGCGGAGGAAAAGGGGATCCATCTGTTTCCTGTGCCTGAGAATTTAGATTACTTGCCAGGAAAGACTGCCTAGTGACAAGGCCATGAACTAGGGATGGGTTGGACTCACTGTGGCAGGAAGCTTTTAAGAACAGTCATTTGTTGGCTGTAGTCACTCCTGCTGTGAGCTGGAGAGCACAAGACGAGGCTTTCAGCTCTATGTTTTGTGACTAGTCCCCCTCTCTCCAGTTCCCTTGCAGTGATGCACATTCTGGGGTCAAGGTGGGAGACACTGTACTTGCTGCTTCTTTCCCAGGCTGTGAGAGCTGAACTAGTATGGATGGGGCTTTTGGTGTAGTGCCTGCTACGTGTGGGGCTGTGGCTCAGCTTATGTGGGTGTTGCGTGCTTTGCCCAGACCAATCGCAGGATTCCCAGGCCTGGTGGGGATGTAAAGCAGATCCCATCCCTCATTACGTGTCTGTGTTCCGCAGTGGATGTCAGCAGGAAAGACGGAGGCCTCCATTTACCAACAGGCCGAGGATGGCAAGACGGAGCTGTCCCTCATGCACTTTGCCATCACCAACCCCAAGTGGCAGCCTCCCCGTGAGAGCACAGCCTTCATCGGCTTCCTGAAGGAGCGAGTGCACCGGGACAGCAGTGTGGCGCTGGCTCAGCAGGCTGTGCTCCCAGAAAACGCCCTCTTCAGCTCCATCCAATCCCTGCAGTCGGAGTCAGAGGTGCCCAGGGTGGGGGGGATGTGGGGTGTTCTTGGGGTGCTTGCTGGGTGCTACAAAACTGATAATCAGGCCCTCTGGGCAGTTTTGCTCTTCTCTGGGCTGTATCTGGTGATGCAAATTGTGATAGACCAGCACTAGCTGGGACTGTTGCTGGGTTTCTAGAGAAGGCAACAGGCTGTCCTGGGGCTCTGTGAGGTGGGAGAGGGGCTGAGAGATCTGGGGTGCCTCAGTTCTGTGCTGCTGGCAGGGATCAGCCCTCCAAGCCTGCACAGGACAGTGATTCTCTCCCTTTCAACTCCACAGCCTCACAGCCTGATTGCCAATGTGATAGCTGGCTCCTCAGCACTGGGCTTCCACATGGGCCGGGAGGGACAGGCCTCCCGCCATCTCTCAGAAGTGGCCTCAGCCTTGCGTTCCTTCTCCCCACTCCAGTCTGCCCAGCAGCCTCCCAGCAACTTTCAGACAGGAGGAAGGGATGGAGAGGGAGCCCAGCCTCGGGGTGCCAGTGCCATGACAGCCTCTGGGTAAGCTGCAGGCTGGAGAGGGGTGACCAGACACGTTGCATATTCCTTAAACCCTTGTCCATCTGACATTGTATTGTCCTGGACGCACAATGGTATTTGTCTCTGCAGCCTGGTACAGTAAGGGACATGTTCATAAGCAGAGTTGGGTGCTTAGGCTGGTGCCAAAGGACAGTGTTGGGGTTCTGGTGTTCTCCTGTAGGTACCACTGTGGTAGGGAAGAGGCAGTGCCACAGCAGGGCTGGTCACCATGTGCACCTGGGGAGAAGCTACAAGAGGGCCTGTTCCTACCTAGCCCAGGAGTGGGTCTCTGCAAGCCTGACAGGAGAGCGGAGAGGGGCTGGGCGGTGAGGGGAGCACTGGGAAGAAAACAACACTTGTGTGTCCCATGGCAGTGCCGATGCGAGGACCGTGAGCTCGGGGAGCAGCGCCTGGGAGGGTCAGCTACAGAGCATGATCTTGTCGGAGTACGCCTCCACTGAGATGAGTCTCCATGCACTCTACATGCACGAGGTGAGCAGCCTGGAGCTGGGCCAGCCAGAGAGGCACGGGGCCAGGGCAGGCAGGACTGGGGTAACCTAACTGGAGTGACTGGGATACCAGTGAGAGTGAGAGCCGAGACCAGTGTGTGTGTATACAGTTCTGGGGAGAGGGTGTGTTTGGGTGTCTGGGCTCTCCCACGCAGCTGACTCACCTGTGTTTTGGCCTTGAAGTTGCACAAGCAGCACACCCAGCTAGAGCCCGAGCGTCACACTTGGCACCGGCGAGAGAGTGACGAGAGTGGGGAGAGCACCCACGAGGAGCTGGATGCTCAGCGGGGTGCCCCTGTCCCCATCCCTCGTTCTGCCAGCTACCCCTTTTCACCACGGCAGTCTTCTGAGGAGACAGCCACGCTGCAGACCGGCTTCCAGCGGCGATACGGTGGCATCACAGGTACAAGAGCCAGGGCAGAGGTCTGAGCTCTGGGTCAAAGCCCCATATCCAATGCCCTGTCAGGACTGGCATGAGCAGTGTGCCTGCCTCTGAAGACTCACAGTCCCCCAGGGAGCTAATCTTCCTCCTTGCCTGTCCTGCAGACCCGGGCACAGTACACAGAGCCCCATCACACTTCTCCCGCCTCCCGCTGGGAGGCTGGGCTGAGGACGGGCAGTCGGCGCGACACCCAGAGCCTGTGCCAGAGGAGAGCTCAGAGGATGAGCTTCCACCACAGATCCACAAGGTAGGGGTGAAGGCTGTGGCTGAAAGAGGAAACGTGTACTTAGGATGGTCCCAATAGGAGCCACATCCCCTCTCTGTCTTGCAGGTATAGCCTTGTAGACTGGGGATCTCGTGGGGTTTGCAGACTGGGAGCTGCCTGGGCAGCAGGATGTGGCGTCATCCTGATTCTTCTCCTGTCCTGAGTGGACCGGTTAGTCCCGGGCTCCATTTCGTTGCCATCAATTGCCGAAAAGACAAAACTGCCAGGCTGGCGGCTTTGCGGTGGCACCTTGTGTCCAGCCGTGTGTCAACGCCACTCTTGACTCTTGTGGGGTGAATGCGTGTGTGAGTACATACATGTGTCTGTGTTCACATCTGTGTCGTCCGTGTCGGAGGATCGCTGCAGAGCCTGCGAAGCTGACGTGACAGGACTAGTAGCGGGCAGCTGTGGACTGGCTCGGAGGTGGCAGCAGCAGCTACTGTTTGAGGGGATGTGAGATGGCACCAGCTCCAGATATCTGCCTGGAGCTGGGATCTGTCTCCAGAGTGAAGGCAGGAGCCATTCAGGGGGGTCTAGCTCAGCCTGTAGCACCACACCTGCCCTTGCAGCCCTGAGGAGGTGCCCAGGACCATGCTCATCCTCTGGAGAGGACCGACGTTGTGCCCCTCAGCCCAGAGCAGGACAGCAGCGGGGCAGTCAATCTCTGCCCCAGCACCCTGCAGAGTGATGAGCCCCGGCTGCTGCTGCTGTTGGTAGGGGCAGGATCTAGAGTTGGTGGGAACAGCTCTGGCTGGGATCCGGGGATGCTGCAGCCCTTCCCTGACTCTCACGACAGCTGGCCTGTCCCCTGCACGTGAGGAAGGGGCAGTGGGCTGAAAGTCCTGGGTCCCTGATGTCCCTCCCAGCTGGCAGCCTCTGTGCCATACCTCTGGGCTAGGGCAGTGTCCTCCCTGTGCAGCGCCCATGGGCTGCGGGCTGCTGTGGGCCCTCCTGCAGTGCCAAAGAGACCCCAGCATGGGGCAGCCCGGCATCTCCCAGGGGTGCTCGCAGCCCCCTCGGAGCCCACCCTGCAGGTCTTGTTCTCTGTCTATTGGTTCCCTTCCCCCAGGCATGATAAAGGCCTTTTTCCCATGCCCAGGCTGTGGCACATCAGGTCTGTCCTCCTGATGTGGCCATTTCTGTGGTATTGGGCCTTTCCTCTCCCACAAGCAAAGCTTCAGTGTATCCTACATCTCACCTGGGGGCTCCCAGCTCCTCCTTCCCTCCAAAAACCTTCCTTTTGCTTTCAGTGTGGCTTTGGCTGCTGTGAAGGCCATGTACCAAGCAGCTGGCTCATGCCTAGTGGGGCAAGGAGGGGTGCCCTGAACCCGGGAAGGAGAATAGTCCCCAGCCCAGCCTTGGGGGGGTGGTGGGGGATCGGGAGCCCAGCTGTGCAGTGTGGCCTCAGACATGACCTTCCCACCATCGTTCTGGTTTCCCTCTTTTCCACTGGCAGCTTGTGCAGATCTGCATCCCGGCTAACAAGGCTTTGCATTCATCTCGCCAGCACTGCAGCCTTTCCCCTGCCCTCCCCGCAGCTCAGGGCCACCTCTCTCCCGCTGCTGGGTTGTTCGCCCTCTGCCCTTTGAGCCTGGGCTGGGTACGCTGCTGAGCTGCCCGCTCCCAGGGGCGTGTGCACCCGGGTAGCCAGGGCAGGAGCAGGGCTGGGGTGCTCGCGCAGGGGCAGGCTCTTTGGGGGTGGCGATGGGGAGGGACAGACCCCACTGCTCTGGGGTCTGTGGGAGACCAAGTGGAGCATGGTAGAGCAGAGCTTGGGCTGGGGATCAGGTCTTTGCTGCAGGGGACAGGACTGAGCCAGGCAGAGGGTCCCTGGACCTGGGTGCTGCTGGGGTCCTCCCACACAGAGCGGCCACAACCCCGCAGCAGCTCTGCCTTGGGGCTGTCGTGGCAGGGTAAAAGGAAACTGAAAGCAAATTCCCCAGGAACCCAAAGCTTTCCTGTGGCTGGCAGCGTCCTGGGGCAGGAAAAACGTCTGGGCCTGTCCCGGGGCTGGCAGGAGGGAGAGGCCCGAGGCCGGGCAGGAGCAGGCCAGAGTCCTTGACGCATGTTTTGCTTGTGTCGTCAGTGTCCCATGTGCATGGCGAGCTGCTCCTCCTCCTCCTCTCCCCCCGGGGGAGCGCGGTGGCGCCCGCCGTGCCCTCGCTGTAGAGCCGTCTAATAAAGATGGGCTGTGTCATCCCTGCCCGTCTCGAGTCTTCCCTTTGCCCTGTGGCACCGCGGGGCCCCCCTGGACGGCTGCGGGGGTGCCGAGTGCTACCTCGGCTGCTCCGGCGGGGCTGGGAGCTCCGTCCCGCGGGCTAGGGGGGGGCAGGCAGGGGCTATATTTATCTCCGGGAGGGCAGCGCCCCGTCCTGCCTGACCTCTGCGGCGGGCAGGGCCCTGC